CGATACAGAGAAGATTAGCATGGCCCCTGCGCAAGGATGACACGCAAATTCGTGAAGCGTTCCATATTTAAAAAAAAAAAAAAAAAGAAAGAGGCTTAGAATTTCTGGAGAGAAAAGAAATTCTGAAAGGGTTTTTACAAAGCTTTGCAACTGCAGACTGTTGCCCTAGTGCGTGATGTTATCGCTAACTGACCCTGACTGAATTGTGAATTGAGTTAAATTTCCCTTCCTGGATTTATCAGTGCATGTAATCCATTTGCTTTGATATCTGAAAACATTTTTATTCTCCCCATTTTCTTTCATTCTGTTCTTTTAATATTTAGGGTAATTTCAAGTATACAGTCTCAGTAAGATAGGACTGGTGTTTGTAATATTTCTCTCTCTTTCCCAGGAGTTCAGTGAGTAACTGGTCCAAGTGAAGTAGTTAGAGGCCACAGAATAGTTTTAGCAGAACATGTGCAGCTGCATTTTATGTGAACAATTAGCTCAGTCTTTGTGCACAGTGTGTAGAAGACAACTTTCCTTTGTGCATGTACAGAATTGTCATGTGACAAAGGCCCTCCCCTCATTCTCTGTGTGTTAAAACTGTAAGCTAAGGAAGCAGGTTTTGGTTTTCTACAGAGAAATACATCCCGGGTGTAAAGTTCCGTCATTTGGAGATACACAGACTGTATGGACGTTTTCTTGAAGTTGGAAAACTAGAGCTTTGTAATATTTTTCAGTGATATTGATAGTTGTGATTTGAGCGGTAGCTTAGATCATGTTACCATAATATTTTGTGTCAAAACATTTCATCACTGTAAAGTAAAAATACACATGCCTCTAGAAACCTCACAGAATGTCAGGAAATAATAGCCCGGGACTTTTCTTAAGAGGCACCAGTTATAATTTGCATCTAGGATTCCAGGAGAAGTGAATTTAACATCTGTTCGTTATGAGCAGAAAATGAGCTATGTTAAATTTGATGGATAATAGATTATGTTGAAGAGAATGACAAATACGCTCCACAGGCTCTGAGAAAGCATTTAATTGACCTCGTATATCAGCTGCTTGCCAGTGCCGAGCATCTCTCGCTATCCCAGTGAATAAATAGTACTGAGACTCGCACTCCGAGCTTGATTGTGGCATACGCCATACAGCCCCTGTTGGCACCCACAAAGAAAAGGGCCAGTAGAACATTGTGAGTTGTGCGTTTCTCTACAGCAGTATACTAAGATGCAGCCCTCTCCATGTGACCCTTCGTCTTGAGGGAAGAGCAGAGTCCTGGATGAGCGAGGGGAGAAGCAAGATAGGGTGATAAGAAAGACTCTAATGTGCTGCGGTTGAAAGTTCAACCTCTGTACACATATTGAAAGGGATGCTTTTAAGAAGTGAAAAAGTTCGGACAAACTCTTCATTGTTATTTATTTATTTAAGTATTTATACCAATATGCGTGTTTGCATTGGGAGAAAAAGTGGACAATTGAATAATTGTGCAAGCCAGTGAAAATGCCACTGACTGGCTGCTTGTGAGGCCTGTGTGCGCCTTATCTCAGTGGTCCGGGAATTGACGTCTTCTAGTAGAGGCCCATAAATCAAAAGGAATGTGGGGAGGAAGGGGTGCAAAAGGGTGAAAGGATGAAATCTAAACAACAGAACTTCTTAGGTTTTATTGCTTGCAGGCATAAGGCTTATCTGTTAAAAAACATTTACTGGATTAATTGGTGCAAATTTTATGAAGTTATGTAATATCTTCTTAAAAATAAAGTTATTTTCCCTAAAAAACAAAAAAGAAAGAAAGAAAATGCCACTGACTGTGGTATGCTTCAGAAAAGTAGAATTCATATATAATCCATTTTCTTAACAGTAAAGTGTACAGTGGACAGGACTTTAGTAGAACGGCAGCAGAGCAAATTCTGCTTCACATTGATGATTCGTGCCTTGGTGTCATGCAGCATGCATGGGGAAGTGCGTTATTGCAGAAGCAGTTAAGTTAAAATTGAGCACTCTGTCATCCAGTCTCCTTTCTGACCCACTCTAAATTTGTTCTCGTTTTTTAATTTTTCTGTATTCTTTCAAATTGAGGTTTTTCTTGGTTTTACTTTATTTTATTTTTATTGTTGTTTCGTATGTTTTTCTGTATGTGAAATCCAAGTTGGGCAAATCTATAGAAACTGTAACTAGATTAATGATTTCTTTGGGGTATGGCAGAGGTGGTTGGTTGGAAATGGGGGGAAAATGAATATGAGAAGAAAATGTTCTGAAATTGATTGTGGTGATGATTGTACAACTCAATATAATTGAACTCTTGGATTATATGATATGTGAATTATATGCCAGTAAAACTGTTAAAAATTGGTAGTACAATTTGAATCTGAAATAAGTAAAATAAGCTAATGATTCAAAATAATTATTGGTAGAAAATTATTAGATGTGGTAATATAAAGCCCTAGTGAGATAACATTCCTATTCATTTTAGATGATGCTCTTGGATTAGGGCGAGGGTTTAAAGGTCTTAGGTTAAAGACAACTCAGTTACTGACTATAACTTATAAGCTTTGGACTACTAACAGCATGCTGGCAGTTCAAACCCACCAGACACCCCATGGGAGGAAAGATAAAACTGTTTGCTCTCATAAAGATTTACAGCCTCGGAAACCCAATATAGTGGAACTGTGAGTTGGAATCAACTTGGTGATAGTAGGCTTGACTTTCAAAGTTGGTGTCACAATATAATTAGTTTAAAATGTGATGAATTTTAGTCTTATAAAATATGATTTGAAGATACAATTTTGCATGTCACTTTTGGATAATAATATAAGATATAAATTATGATACTCCCTCACAATTATCTCATTTATGACAAATGAAATGGACAAGTAACACCCTTTTAATTTTAATAGGTTGTTATCTAAACTATTAGTTGTCTTTTTAAAAATTTAATTTATCAAGTGTATGCATCTAGAATTTGCATTTTTCTCTCTTTTTATCTCAGGTATCCCTCGGGTTATCCAGTGTAAATTTAGACTTCCTCTGAAATTAATCTGCCTGCCAGGTCAGCCTTCAAAAACTGCAAGCCATAAACTCACTATTGATACCAACAAATCTCCCATCAGCCTTCTCAGCCTCTTTCCAGGTAGGATGTTTGATGTAACATGCCTGTAGCATCTGAATGTCAGGAATTTAGAATGGAATCCTTCATCAGTGGGTAATGATGGGGTAATTATCAGATAATTGTTAAGTAAGAATATAAAAATGCCTCTAGGATTTTCCTTCTTGTTTGCCTGTTCAAAGGGGGCAGAGCTTATATCAACAAGGTAATAAGGCACACCTTTTAAGTTTGATTTAGAATTATTATAATCATTATTTTGCTTCAGAATTCACATATGAAACCTTCACATATTTCTTCTTAGACTATGGCGTATTTGACTGTAATGAGAATGTAAATATTTATTATTCACTTTATGGTAGGTTTTTGGGCATATCCTTTCTCTAAGTATGTAAATATTTATTACTCACCTTCCTTTTAGGTGTTTGGATATGCACATTTTGAAAGTCTCTTCTTACACCCCTGAGAAGTAATCTCATAAGTAGATGTGCTTTGTGTTTCTGTCCTCTGTAGCAGCTGGAATGGGCGAACAGTCATCCTTGGCTCTGGGTGTTTAGAAGGGTTTTATATTTAAGGCTTGAGTATCACAGTGAACATTTGGGGTCATTTGCGAAGATGTAACTTTCTCCGGGTGTCAGTTTGTCTTCCGATTAGTTTGGAAAACCGAGAGGCTTTCACTGGATAGAACATCTGTAGTAGCCAAGGTTTCTTATACCTCTATTAGCTTTCTTGGTGATGGGGTGCAATTAAACTGAAATCTGGGGATTAAATCAGCCTTTTAAAATCCTTTATTAAAAATCAGCCCTGTCGACTGTGACATGCATCCTCACCCTTGCATTAGTGCGTAGGATTTAGAATAAAAGAATATTTCCCACAAGTTTTAGAAATTTATGGTAAGTCAACTTTTGTTATTAAGTACTTAAAGTATTTAAATTTTATTTTTCATTAGTTTGAAAAGTTTATTTATATATACCTATTTGAAAAATCTCCAAAATTGAATGCTCTTTATTACAATTTTTCTGCTCTGAAGTGTTTGAGTATATGGGTGTATGTATTGTTTGCAAATAATTTTATACCTTTTCTTTCTCTCCTCTCATCTTCCCTTCCTTTCTTCTTTCTCTCACTTTGTCACTCTACTTCCCTTTGCTTCTTTGTTAGTAAAGTTTCTTATGACAAATTCAAATTATAGAAAAAGCATTACCTTTGTAACATCATCCACCACCGTATTTAGTCCCTAGGGTTTCCTCTTTGGGGAATTACATGTTGAACACTGATTCATTGGAACCTTGGAAAAATTTTTAAACACCTGGCTTCTGAGGGGATGGTCGTTGTTGTAGTTGGGTGAAACCCATTAGAGACTAATTAAAAATACATGCCTTTGACCAAAGACATAATCTTTGTAAAATATAGATTGGGCAAGACGTGGTCAGAAAAACTTTAGATAACTCACTTATTTGTCTCCGGATTTGAGCTCAAATGTTTTGACAGCATAATTAGGTTCTCCTTTTCACCTAATATATGCTTATACTCAGTTTAGAAATAGGACTCAATAGAAAATTGAAAAATAAAATTAGAAGAGAAATTGCTGAGTGAGAGAGGATGCACATTGGAAGCTTGATTGGAATGCCAAATTCTTTCCCTGAAAATTGACTGGGATGCTCTCCCATCATCGGAGTTCCTGCCCAGGGTAGCAGTTAGGTTGTCTTCTTGAAAGTTGGACATAGTTAAGTGAAAACTGGCAGTGTTTGTATTTCCTTAATGAAATTACTTGTTAGTCTGCATTTTTATCTTTATTATTTGTATTCCTTTTTTCAACATGCAAGATTTATGCTTTTATGTAATGACACATATTCAGCGCTATCTTTATGGTTTCAAGTTTTCATGTGATGCATTGAACATTCTTCTCTATTCCAGGATTATAAAACATTTCTATGTCTCCTAGTGCTTTCTTAATCTATTATTTAACTTTCAAATCATAATGGGAGTATAGACTAGTGCAGATTTTCAGTCTATCCAATCATTGCATTTTTGCTCTTTTAGATTGCTTTATTGAAGTGCAGTTTATAAATAATTGCACAGTTTGCATAATTTGATACATTTAATTTTTGTCCATACCTGTGAAATAATCCCTATAATGAAGTTGCTGAATAGATCCGTCTCTCCTAAAAGTTTCCCTGTGCCCCTTTGACAACCACTGACCTGCGTTCTGTCATTCCAGGTTAGTTTGCCTTTTTAAGAATTTTGTAAAATTTGTGTAGTCTGCTTCCTTTTTGTCTGGTCTCGTTCACTCCTTTAGCAGATGTGATATACGTTCTCCCTGTCTGTGATCTGCCTTTGCATTTCCTGAACAGTTCTTTTGGAAGAATGAATTTTTAATTTTGATAAAGCTCTGTTTACTTACTTGGCTCATGCCTTTAGTGTTATATCTAAGAAGTCTTTTTCTAACTCAAATTTGCAAAGCTTTACTTCATTTTTTTCTAGAAATTTTCTAGTTTTATATTTTATGTCTGTTACTCATTCCAAGTTATCTGTGTGTGGTGTAAGGTGTATATAAAATTCATGATTTTGCCTACAGATATTCAATTGTTTCTGTACCATTTCCTGACAAACCTTTTCTTTCCTACTCAGTTGTCTTTTACATCTTTCTCAAATGTCAAGTATTGGGGGTGGGGGTGGGGCTGGGCTTCAAAAATATATGGGAAAATGAAATTAAAAGATAATGGAGTTTTACCATGCATTTTCTGAAGCCCCTTGGTATATATGGGTCTTTTCCAACTCTATTTATGGGGAGTCTTGAAGCCAGGTAGTATAAATCCTCAGACTTGATCCTTCCTTTTCAAGGTTGTCCAGGGTATTCTAGATCATTTCAGATTTCCTACACTTCTTAAGATCAGTTTGTCAGCTAAATAAACAAGAATACCTTTGGGGTCTTGATTTGGGCTGGCACTGATTCTCTGCATCAATTTGGGGAGAAGTGACATATTAACCATATTGAACATGATATAATTTGCTCTCATCTTTCTAAGTTTCCTTCTGTGAAAGCACACACCTTTGTTTATTTAGATTTTATTTCAGAGAAGCTTTGTATTTTTAAATGTACAGCTTTTGTAAATTTTTAGTAAGATTATCTCTTAAGTATTTCATATATATGTTTTTCTGTTTCTTTTGTTCTTTAAATTTATTTTGTTATTGAGACTCGGTGCAGGAAAACACATGCCAATTCAGCAGTTTTGACATGGACAGTAGATTGAGGTTGGTTACATGTCTCAACCCCCTTTTCTGAGTTGTTTCTTCCTCGGTGATGTAAACATGCTGCCCATAGTTCCTATCAAATCTTTCAAGTTGCTGTAGATAGTTCTTAAAAGAAAATAAAGTTCAAGGTATACCTTTTTTATTAGGTAAGCTAAATTATCTAAGATGACCACAGAGGACATTTTCTGGCTCAAGGTTAAAGACTATCTCAGGGTAATACTTTTAGATATTCTTCTGCCCTCAGTGTTTCTAAAAAGTCTAGAATTCATGAGAATTTGAAATTCTGCTTTCATTTTCCCATTTTGCTCAGGATTCTTCCATGGAATCTTCGAACAAAATGTTCAGTAATGTGCATTATCTAGTATTTCTGGTCTCATAGTAAAGGTTGTTGACTGTAAATTATAATATTTTATTTAAATTTGATTTTGGTATATTGATCTTGCATGTACATTTGTAAACCATTATTGGTTTCCAGTTGGCTTTTAAAATATTTCATAAGATTTCCTTCATAGATGATTATGTAATATGCAAATAAAATAGTTTTATTTCTTCCTTTTTCATATATATATATTTTTAAATTGGGGCTTGTACAACTCTTATCATCATCCATCCATCCATCCATCCATCCATCCATCCATTCATCCATTGTGTCAAGCACATTTGTACATTTGTTGCCATCATTTTCAAAACATTTTCTTTCTTCTTGAGCCCATGGCATTAGCTCCTCATTTTTTCCCCTCCTTCTCAAACCCTTGATAATTTATAAATGATTATTTTTTTATGTGTCTTGCACTGACTGATGTTTCCTTTCACCCACTTTTCTGTTGTCCACCCCCAGGGAGGGGTTATATGTAGATTATTGTGATAGGTTTCCCCTTTCTCCCCCCACTTTGCTCCTTCTCCTCCTTGTATCGCTACTCTCATTATTGGTCCTGAGGAATTTATCTGGGATTTCCCGTATTTCCAGCTCTTATCTGTACCAGTGTACATCCTCTGGTTTAGCCGGATTTGTAAGGTAGAATTGGGATCATGATAGTGGGGGGCGGGGGTAGGAAGCATTAAAGAAACTAGAGGAAAGTTGTATGTTTCATCAGTGCTATACTGCACACTGACTGGCTTGTCTCCTCCAAGTGACCCTTCTGTAAGGAGATCTCCAGTTGCCTACAGATGAGCTTTGGGTCTCCACTCCACACTCCTCCTCATTCACAATGAAATGATTTTTTGTTCTTTGATGCCTGATAGCTGATCCTATCGACACCTCATGATCACACAGGCTGATGTGCTTCTTCCATGTGGACTTTGTTGCTTCTCAGCTAGATTGCGGCTAGTTTATCTTCAAGCTTTTAAGACCCCAGACACTATACTTTTGATAGCCAGGCACCATCACCAGCTTTCTTCACCACATTTGCTTATGTACCCGAAGGTGAGCATCATGGAATGCCAGGTTAATAGAACAAAATGTTCTTGCATTGATGAAGTACTTGAGTAGAGGCCCAATGTCCATCTGCTACCTTAATACTAAACCTGTAAATATATCTACATAGATCTATTTCCCCATTGCTATATATAAACATATTTACATATGTACATGCCTGTATTTAGACCTCTATAAATGCCCTTTGTCTCCTAGTTCTTTTCTTTTACTTTCCTCTTGTCCCACTATCATGTGCAGCCTTCATTTGGGGTTCAGAAATTCCTCTCAGTTACATTGCTCTCGATCAAGCCCTACCAAGCCTCCTACACCCTCCTCACCATTAATTTTAGATCACTGTTGC